AGGTTCACAAAAGAGGACCTAGACCTTAACTTATGTTCGGTCCAATGAACCTGAACAGACCTAAATGTAATTGTGTGTAAACGGCCATACATCCATTTATATCTGGCCACCCATAGGGAAACGCTGCACTCCATATTTGATCTGTCTGATCATGGGTCAAAAACAGACTGATGGAACAGCCATGTGAAAGTGATCTTTGGAGTAAAAATCTTTCAGTGGATGAATTATTATTTGTGAACATCTTCCACAGTTGTGCGCTGAGAGGCTGAGTTGCCTGGCTGTAAGGCATCTTGGAAGGACCCCTCCAGAGTATGGAACGGCTCTGTGACGTCAGCTGACTGCGAGCTTTAGCCCACTGTCACCTGATTCTGGGTCTCCGGAGAGCACAGGTAAGTGCATTCCTGTGACTCTCAAGAGAAGTATGGGCAAAAGAACCTCTGACCATATTTCTCTTTTAGAGCTTCGTTTCCTTGAAGCTGTTATTTTGGAACCACTGTCAGGAGTGTGTAGCGCTCTTGCTCCTTGATAGCTGCTGGTCTTATTCCAGCATCCTGTTTTGGCTGTGATACATTCTCCCTGTCTGTCTGTCCACCTGCAATGTGCAAGGTGGAGCTCCAAGTCACCTGTTTGTCTGCCCTCTCTGCTGTTTTGCATTCCTCTCTTTTATGACCTTGGACTGGAACTCGGACTATTCTCTGAACTCTGCCTGCCTTTTGACTACAGATTTGACCCTGACTACTCTGAACCTTGACTGCCTTGTACCTGGACTGGCATTGAACCACTCTATCTGCTAACGGCAAGTAAATGGTTGCTGTGCTCAGTTTGCACCTGCCCCAGCTACTATAGCATTGTGTCCTGGGAGCAACAAAGTACTGGTAGGCCTGTTTGCCTTATGGGAAAGGGAGCCACTATAGTTGAAGACCACAGAAACCAGCTATAGTGTCAGACCACCTGCATTAGGGGTAAGCATGACAACCACATTTAGAGCTAGGGAAAAAGAGGCAGGGGTTTCCACCACTCCACTGGGGCATCTTCTTGCGGGCCCCTTGATATCCGAGCCCTGCAGCCTGGCCTTTAGACCAATAAAACTACAGGTGCACAGGTCTGTAAATATAAAAAGAGAAGACACCTCCTCAGATTGGGTTTCCTCCAAGAAGTGAAGGAAAATGCTCCCCTTTTCTCATGTTTGGGTACTATGATTCTGTCACAAGACCAAAATACAAAGAAAAAGGGAAGAACTTTCATTTTCTGGCTTGTGGCCAATTTAAATGATCTGTATCTTCTGCAGTTTTACTTACCTGGGACCCAAGCTGATCACAGGACACACATGTTCTCAACAGTTTGAAGCTGAACTCCAGGAAAAAGAAAAATCTCCCCTTGCAGTGGGACTTCCTCCCCTCTAAATGCTTGTTTATGCCTAGGGTAGAAATAACAAGGACCTTTACTTACCTATTCCGTGCCTTTCCTTGGCTGCCAGTGCTCCCCTCTTCTCCCTAATACTCCAGTTTGTGGGCATCCTTACAATCAATGCAGGGCTACTGGTCCTGCATTGTACTTCATGAGATTAGAGTGTCTGCAGCTGCCCAAGTACTGGGCTTGTTCTCCTAGCATGGAAGCAATCTGCAGGAGTCAGGGATTAGGGAATTAAAAGTCCTTTGGAAGCATTTATGCCTTGCAGTGCAAGGGAAGAACCACTGCAAGGGAGCATTTTTTTGATCCTTTGAGTTCAGCATTAATTTATATTATATTTATTATATATGTTTCTAAAAAATATACAGTATAGCATATATGTGTGTTTTTGTGTATATTTTTTAATCAGTAATGATATAATATTTTTACAGACATATTTATATTTGATATAATTGTTATTGGTGGTATAAGACTACATCTTACTAGCTAAATATTTGTAAGACTACCTGTTAAAAAAAAAGTGTATGACATTTTATTACCATTGTGTAGAGCAAAGGGGCATTTTTGGAGACATACGGCAAAGTATGTGTATGTATGAATGTGAGTTAGGGACCTTAGATTGCAAGCTCCTTGAGGGTGAGGGTCTGATGTGAATGTACAATGTATATGTAAGTGCTGCAATGCTGACTGATTGGCTTCGATATTTACTGAGTGGTTAATCCACCAGAACTAGAGAGTTTTTTGGCTTTTGGAAAGCTGCCATTTATTGGAGGGTGCTAGGTTAAACAGGTCAAGGAAAGCCAAGACCACCAAACTTCAGGTTAGGGTGTTTATTCAAGCTTAAATAAATGATTGATTTCTTTTACGATCAATCTCTCCTGATAGGAATGAGCAATCTACACATTGGGGAAAATAGTTATTTTATTCCCTGCAGATTTTGTAAGTTTGCCCACTTACAAAGAAATTAAGGGTCTATAATTTTTTATCATAGGTGTATTTAAATGATAGAGACAGGATATTAACCAAAAATCCAGAAAAGACACATGATACAAATGTTATAAATTGAGTTGCAGTTCAGTGAGTAAAATAAGTATTTGATCCCCAAGCAAAACACGACTTAGTACTTGGTGGATAAACCTTTGTTGGCAAGCACAGAGGTAAGACGTTTCTTGTAGTTGGTTACCAGGTTTGCACACATCTCAGGAGGGATTTTGGTCCACTCTCCTTTGCATATCTTCTCAAAATCCTTAAGGTTTCTTGGCTGTCGCTTGCCAACTCGAAGTTTCAGCTCCCTCTCATACATTTTCTGTAGGATTGTGCTTCTTCTTGAGCCACTCCTTTGTTGCCTTGGTGGTATGTTTTGGGTCATTGTCATACTGGAAAACCCATCCATGACCCATCTTCAGTGTTCTGACTGAGGAAAGAAGGTTTTCATCCAAGATTTTACAATGCATGGCCCTATCCATTGGCCCCTCAATGCAGCAAAGTTGCCCTGTACCTTTAGCAGAGAAACAGCCCCAAAGCATAATTTTTCCACCTCCGTGCTTGACTGTAGGGATGGTGTTCTTGGGGTCATAGCATTTTTCTTCCTCCAAACTTGGTGAGTCCAGTTAATGCCAAAGAGCTCAATCCCAATCCTTCTCCCAATCCTTCTCTGAATCATTTAGATGTTCATTGGCAAACTTCAGACAGGTCTGTACATGTGCCTTCTTGAGGAGGGGGACCTTGCGGGCGCTGCAGGATTTCAATCCATGGTGGCATATTGTGTTACCAATGGTTTGTTTGCTGACTGTGGTCCCAACTGCCTTGAGATCATTCACAAGCTCCTCCCGTGAAGTTCTGGGCTGATCCCTCACTTTTCTCATTATCATCCTTACCCCATGAGGTAAAATCTTGCATGGAGCTCCATACCAAGGGCGATTGATGGTTATTTTGTATTTCTCCTATTTGCAAATATTCGCTCCAACAGTTGTCTGCTTCTCACCAAGCTTCTTGCTGATAGTCTTTTAGTGTATTCCAGACTTGTGCAGATCTACAATCTTGTCCCTGACGTTCTTTGACAGCTCTATTGTCTTGCCCATGATGGTGAGGTTTGAATGGAAGAAAGAGATTCTGTTTACAGGTGTCTTTTTATACACATAACGAGTTATCGTTAGGAGCACCATCTTAAATTGACTGGACTAACCTGTCTACCACATGAGCACATAGCCAGTCTGTGGGAGCCAGAATTATTGTTGGTAGGTAGGGGATCAAATACTTATTTTACTCACTGAACTGCAACTCAATTTATAACATTTGTATCATGTGTTTTTTCTGGATTTTTGGTTGATATTCTGTCTCTATCATTTAAAATACACATATGATAAAAATTATATTATTATTATATTTGTAAGTGGGAAAACTTACAAAATCTGCAGGGAATCAAATCATTATTTTCTATAGAAGCCAGGCAATTCAATTGATATGCCACCCACAGGACAGTGGATTTCGATTGACAGAGTATGAAAACTCAACATTTCATTTTCCTAATATGTGCCTGTTGTAGCATGTACTTGTATGAAAAAGTATCCTGTTCTCTTTGTATTGCCTCCTTTGTGTGAAATCACTGGTGTTACTGCCAGTCCCTCTGCTTTCCTATTACAAACTGACCACACTAAGCAGGAGACCTGTTCTCTAGCTGTGCTAGGAACTCGGCCTGCTCTGCTGCAATGATCAGGCTTGTGCTGACATGCTCCCCCCCCTTCCTGCACAGCCTTCCACAGGGAAGGTAAGTGTGAGGCTGTTTCTCCTCCCCCAGCTCTTATGCAGCTGAGAACAGAGGGTATGTGATCACTTATAAAAAAAAAGGGAAAAAAAAAAGTGTTTACAGTGTTTTTTTATATATGTATGCACAGATATATAGTCTTTCCTTTCTATTTTAAACTGAATGGGCTGTTTTACAAGGTAAGGGTTTATACTTGAGGATACAGTCATAACTTACAATCGTAAGTCTTCAATCACATTTCTGTTTCCAACAAGTAATCTCATAATCTGATCAATCAAAATACGATAATATTAGTATCCATGAGCAATGTATCCCAGTTCTGTTGACTGATTAAAAACGCTTGATAATTTTCTGCCCTGGCTGATCAACTCGGTTTGAATCCAATTGAAATTAAGTTGGTCAGAATGGAAGGTATCTCTATTTGATTGTTTGCAGATTCCATCATTTTGATGGATATTGTACTACTGTGTGTACTATAAAAAATGTGCTCCAGCTGTGATAATAATAAAAGTAAATGATGGGAAATTCTTGGTATATTCTTTGTATCATTGCAAAACACATTCTTTTCACTAAAGCAATTAATTTGTTTAAATATCCACAAAGACACTGATATTGTCCAGCTGCATTTCTTATTTTGCTAAATGTGCAAAAACAACTGCAGCTGGACATTATGAATACATATGTACAGTTCATGGAAAATATATTTGAAAAGGGACTTTGTTTCTAATATGTTCTAAAGTCTAATTACAGGAATACATTTCCGCAGTAAACCTGTCTTTCTCTCTTGTTATGTCTTCACACAGGTAAAGTGTTTGTTCCCAAGCATATGCCAATGGAACGCCAGCCAGAGGAAAGGGTGACCTTGGAGCCAGAACTGGAAGAAGCTCTCGCCAGTGCCACAGACACAGAGCTCAGCGACCTCGCTAGTAAGGCTCATTTATCAACGTGTCCAAAAGCAGAGCTGCCTGTGTTGCCTCTAAGCAAGCAATCACATTCTCCCTTTTCATTTTGCCAGGCTAGAAAATGAAAGGTAAATTATGATTGTTTTCTCTTGGAGCAAAACAAGCAGTTTTCATTTCAAATACGTAAACGAAAGTCCAGATTCTAAACCTCTGGTTGTAAAAAGTTTACACATTTTTGTTTTAATTTGACAAACTAATAGTTGTAGAAAACAAAGCAAAAAATATACTGGAATAGTTTTGTATCATTTTATTATGAGCTTCACACACAATTTAAATTGATTTCAAATGTTCGATTTTCTTTTTTTTTTTAAATAACAAACATGTCATACTTACTTGCTCTCTGCAATAGTTACGCAAAGAGAAGCCCCGATCCTCCTCTTCTTGGGTCCCCTGGTGGTGTTCTTGGTTCCTCCTCTTCTGTTTCTGCCCCCATAACAAGCCACTTGCTAAGGTAGCACTTGTACAGGTTCAATCCTAAGCTACACTGCATGCATCTGTTGACACACATAGTGCGGCTCAGCCCCACCCCCTGCTCCATCCTCACAATCTGTAATTGACCGTAATGGCTCTCCTGTGAGGAGGGAGAAAGAACCAGTGCTGCTGCTCTCTCTGGCACAGTGCTGGATGGAGATCAGGCTCAGGTAAGTATACAGAGGGGGGAGCTGGGAGGGAGTGGGTCACAGGAGATTTTTGTTTTTTTATCCAAAAAACCTTCTTCCTTTAGAACGTTTTTTTATCAAAAAACCTTCTTTCCTTTAGAACCACTTTAATGCATTTACAAGGAGAGAACCATGCTTATCTTCTGCACCACAGCTGAATAGCTTGAAAGTTTTGGATAGAGTAGGGAAAGGTTTAAACTTCTGCACATTTTTTCCTTTTTGCTGCCTGTGTACAATTGGGGGAAGAATTTCTCTTCACTTCCCATCCCAGAGATGCAACTTGAAATTAGAAGAAGCATCTCAAAGCGATTGGAACTGAACAGTTTTCCCGAAACAAGTGCCCCTTTAGAAGATTTCCCACTACCATTTGTTCTGAGGACAACTTTAAAATTTTAGAATAAATCCCACATACTTTGTCAACGACAGTGGTCACCAGTACAAATAGTGGGGTGAAACAGCCCCCTCACATAAGAGCCCCCTTCACATCAGAGTCATCGGAGGCCCCCATTACATCGGAGTACCTCTACCTTAATTGCATTAGAGCCCCCATCACATTAGAATCCCCATCACACCAGTGCCCCCTCTTCAAATTAGAGTCCTTCCATCACATCAGTGTTTCCCTTTCATCAGAGTCCCTCCATCATATCAGATACCCCCTTTACATCAGTGTAAGTCCCTCAATTACATCAGAGTCTCTCAATTACATTAGTGTCCCCCTCAAATCAGAACCCCCACATCACACTAGTGCCCCCCTTCAAATTAGAGTCCTTCCTTTACATCAGTGTTTCCTTTTCATCAGAGCCCCCCATCATATAAATTGCCCCATTACTTCAGAGTAAGTCCATAAGTTACATAAGAGTCCCTTAATTACATCAGAGCCCCCTCAAATCAGAATCCCCACATCACACCAGGTCCCCCACCTTCAAACTACAGTCCTTCCATCACATCAGTGATGATATCAGAGTTCCCCCATCACACTAGAGTCCTCCTTTCACATTAGAGTTCCTCCATCTCATCAGGGTCCCTACAACACATCAGAGTCCATGCATTGCATCAGAGTTCCTTGTTTACATCATTTATTTATTTATTTTTATTTATTTCAGGTACTTATATAGCACAGTAAATTTCCGCAGCGCTTTACATATATATATTGTACATTCGCATCAGTCCCTAACCCTCAAGGGGCGTACAATCTAAGGTCCCTAACTCACATTCATATATACACATACTAGGACCAATTTAGACAGGAGCCACTTAACCTACCAGCATGTCTTTGGAGTCTGGGAGGTAATCGGTGTACCTGGAGGAAACCCACTCAGGCACAGGGAGAACATGCAAACTCCAGGCAGGTGCTGCCATGGTTGGGATGTGAACCAACAACCCTAGTACAGCCAGGCAGAAGTGCTAACCTTTTAGTCACTGTGCTGCCCCATTAGAGCCCCCCCATTATTATTATTATTGTACAGGATTTATATAGCGCCAACAGTTTTACAATATAAAGGGAGACAATACAGCAACAATACAGTTCAATACAAGAGGGATAGGAGGGCCCTGCTCCTTGGAGCTAACAATCTAGGATCACATTAGCTTCCCCCTCACACATCAGATTTCCCCCTTCATGTTAAAGCCCCCCATCACCTCGGTGTCTGTCTTTTACGTCCGAATCCCCCCTTCATATTGGATTCTCCCTGCACATCAGAGACCCCCCCCCCTTCACATCTGGTTCCCCCATCACATCAGTGTCCCCTGCTTCATATCAGAGGCCTGCCATTACATTGGAGCCCCGCTCCCAGCACATAAGAGTCAGACCCCAAAAAACACACATCAGAATCAGTGTCCCACTTTCAAATCTTCACCGTAGCTGCAGCATCATGGCAAGGGGAGAAGATGAAGCAGATCTATGATGAAGCATCAATTCCATCTTCTTGTGAATTGCTGTCCTGGATCAATGTCATCTTTTTCCAAGCTGTGGACAGGTTGGCTGCCAGTAACACCAAACCAACGAAGGACGCAGTGCATTCTGGTGCGCCCCCCTGCACCATAGGAACAAATGTTGCAGTAGGGCAGATAAGAGCAGGGCACTGGACAGCCATGCCAGCTCAGCATCTCCAAGGCTACAGACTTCAGACAGATATATCTCTGGTCCTGGGGGCAAGGCTGAAATATGGGGAGACACAGCCCACCCCAGCACCCCCTAAGAGCTGATTCACATATGTTCGGATTGAAGCTCAGGTTTCACAGCTAATTGATACAGTAGTTTTTTTTGCACAGGTGTACATCAGGTTTACATCAGGTTCAGGACAGGATTAGCTCAGAATCTTATCTTGTTCACACATATGCGGTTTAGAAACGGTTCCCATAGAGGTCAATAGCCTGTAATCCGCACCTGAACCTGAAGGCACTGCTCAGAAATCGGACATAACTCTTTTTAAAACCGCACTGAATCCGCACCACCAGTGCACCGGACATATGTGAACAGGCACCATAGGAAGCAATGTTTTTCCACATGTCATCTGGATTGGATGCGGTTCAAACCTCATCAAATCTGCATATATGTGAACTGGCACTAAATCTGGATCTGATATATACACTTTGCCAGTATAATTACATTGAGAGCAGGACATACAGAATTAAAAGGATTTTACTTTTTGACCCTATATGACCATGTGCAACAACACAATGGTTTAAACATTGGATGTAGATATAAGTGGTAGTCAAAACATGCTCTATTCTAGAGAAAAGTAGAAACCATGAATACAAATATTTTAATTCTCTGTGCAATATTTATCAAGCCAAATAGACATAATTTGCATTAATATTATATTATATAGGATTTATATTGTGGCAGCAGTTTGCACAGCACATTACAATAAATAAATAAAGACAAACAGCTGCAATAAAATTCAAGTCACGAATAGGAGGTCCCTGCTAAAAAGAGCTTACAATCTAAAAGGGAAAGGCAAGGGGTAAAAAAGGTAATAACTTTGTGGGGATGAGTTGATGAAGAAAGAAAAGTTCAGTTGTTAGACAGAGATGGGATAGGCTTCCCTGAAGAGATGAGTTATTTCAGCAGCCTTTTAATATTGACCTCAGCCATCTGTACTAACAAAACCTATATTCCTAACCCTTGTCTTCATTTTTTATAGCTGTCCTCGGAGTGCAGCATTTTGCAAGCAGAACAGAGGGTAATGAAGATGGACAAGATGGAGTAGACCTTAGAAGTAAAGCTGTTTATATATAAATTTAATTTAACTGTATAGATAATTGCGTTTATTGTCTACTCTTGATATCTGGACAGTACAGGGGCTGATTTTAGAACACGATGGTCTGAATATTATAGCACTGTGTATTATCAAATAGCAACAGTTATACTAAGCAATGGTTGCTCATGACAGAGGCTTAGAGGGCTTTGTGCGCTCATTCGCCTGCTCAATTGCTTGGTAACACAAATTGCTAATCAGCCAATCATATGGCAGGAACTATATGTGGTGAAGACCACTTTCTGAAGTTCAAACCGAGCATCAGAATGGGGAAGAAAGGGGATTTAAGTGACTTTGAACGTCGCATGGTTGTTGGTGCCAGACAGGCTGGTCTGAGTATTTCAAAAACTGCTGATCTCTAGTGTTTACAGAGAATAGTCAGAAAAAGAGAAAATATTCAGTGAGTGGCAGATGTGTGGACTAAAATGCCTTGTTGATTTCAGAAAAGAATAGGCGGATTGGTTTTAGATGATAGAAAGGCAACAGTAACTCAAATAACCACTCTTTACAACCAAAGTATGCAGCATACCATGCAGAAGACCACACCCATTACCACTCCTGTCAGCTAAGAACAGGAAACGGAGGCTGCAATTCGCACAGGCTCACCAAAATTAGACAATAGAAGACTGGAAAAATGTTGCCTGGTAGGGTCAGATTTTGGCATAAACATCATGAAGGCATGGATTCATCGTGCCTTGTATCAACGGTTCATGGATGTGCAGCCGACAAATCTGCAGAAACTGCCTGATAGTATCATGTCAGTATGGACCAAAATCTCAGGAATGTTTCCAACATCTTGTTGAATCTATGCCACAAAGAATGAAGGCAGTTCTGAAGGAGAAAAGGGGGTCCAAACCGGTAGTGGAAAGGTGTACCTAATAAAGTGCTCAGTGTGTGTATGTAAATGGTTATTTTCAACTTTTTAATTCAGATAAGATTATTTTGGAAAAATGGGTGATTAAATGAAAAATTTGTGAATCTTGGGTAAAGCCATTAATAAATAGACCCTTTGGGGTTGATTTACAAAAGACAAATAAGCTGTTCACTTTGCAAAAGAACTTGCACTGTGCAAGGTAATTTTCCCCAGAGCTTAGTGAATGCAGTGAAAACTTACCTTGCAAAGAATATCCAATCGTGTGCAAGAAATTTTGCTTGGATGATAGAAGTCAGTAAAGCTTCACCCTCATTTACTATGCTCTGGGGAAAATTCCCTTGAAAAGTGCAACTACCCTTACAAAGGAAACAGTCCATTTGCCTTTAGTATATCAACCCCTTTAAAGCGGAGCTTCACCCAAAAGGGGAAGTTCCGCTTTAAGTCTTTGTCTCCCGCTCCCTGTTAAGGATTGGCACCTTTGGGGGGTGGGGGGTAGCGGGTACCAGAATTTGACAGGTACCCGCTCCCACTTTCGCTGCGATCGCCTGGTAGCTCGGAAGTGGAAGTTGTCCTCCCTCCCTGTAGTCTTCTGGGACACATGACATGTCCCAGAATACTATGGGGCCATTCACAAAGCGCAGCACTTCTCGCACATGCGCAGTGGGCACCCGGCTGTGAAGCCGCAAGCTGTCACAGCCAGGTGCCCACACTAAAGATGCCAGCGCCAGGGAGAGAAGATGGCCAGGGAAACCAGCAGTGGTGAGGACACCGCTAGACCGAGGGACAGGTAATTGTCTGTATTTTAAGAGTCAGCAGCTCCAGTTTTTGTAGCTGCTGACTTTTTTTTTTTAGGTTGAACTCCGCTTTAAGTTCAGATCAGAAATACACATCCTGCTTAGATAATAATCAGAAGTTTTCTCTGTGTTATGTAAATATAACCTCTGGTTGGTTATTTCATGCACACAACTTTCTGCTAATTCTTTTTGTTGCATCAACTCATTATCAATGATAATCAAAGGCATATTCATCTGATCTTATTACAATGGCCTTCAATTTCAGATGTTGTCAAAGCTGAAAAAGTAAAACCAGCATTTGATGAGCCCCCAAACCCAACAAACGTAGAAGAGAGTTTGCAGAGGATAAAAGCCAATGATCCTTTCCTTCTCGATGTTAACCTGAATAACATTAAGGTAACTCTCACAAAGTGAAATAACTCAAATATTTAATCTATATTTAAAAATACTGTAAGTGGAGAACTCTACTTATAATATTACCATGCAAACCCATGATATGTGTTTAAACTGATGGCAAATCCTTTGTTATGTTTGGTCAGTTTGCAATCTGCAAAGAAACTCATTTAGTTTTGGAAGTATAAATTGTAATGTATAGATTTTGACTAAAAGAATTGGTAACTCTTTCCTATCAGCTAGACAAAATCAAAAGTCCATTTTTAGCTCTTGGGCTCAGGTGTATACGATCCCTTTAACCTGCCACTCAGCCAAAAGTCGGCTTGAAAAGAAAAGGGTTTGACAGATGGGCCCATTCTATATCCAAAACATTTAAAAACAATTGGCTGGATTTCCACTTTAAACCCTCCATGACCAGGTGTCAGTTCTTATATTTTCTGTTCTTATATTTAAGAAAATGATGGAGGTTTAAAATTAAAGTGCGGAAATCTGTCCCTTTTTGATTTATCACAGCCATCATCAAAGACAGATTTTCATGACAAAGCAGTGTTTAATAAATAATGAATTGTCAGATGATCACTGTCCTATAACATCTGTTAGTGTAGGCTTCCATGCCTTCAGCAGTTACATGTACATGTTGGTATAAATGTATCAGTGCTCTAACTGCCTTTTAAATACAGATGAATACATGACTACTCACTGCTTAAAGCTTACACTTACAGATTTATCTTGTTCAGCCCAAGGACTAAATGAGAAAAATTGAATAAATTCTATCCATCCTGAAAATCATGGATAAAGCAATCTCCCCTGTCTGCTATTGTATTCTGACAATTGGCACTCATGGCTGTCAGAATACCCAAACAGTGACTGCATCTGAATGGAAGTAGTCAGTGTTCGTTCGACACTTTTTTGCCAGTTTGCTTTGATTTTTTATGTGAAGTTTTTTGAGCTGGGTGGTGCTGACAGGGTCACTGCTGTCTGGAATTTTGAGCCATGCGTGGCAGGCTTAAAGTGACACTAAACTAAATCCTTATTTTCCAAAAATCCATACACATCATCCACTACTTAATGGCCCTGTAATATATTTTTCATGAAATTGTTTCTTACTTTGTTTTTGTGCCTCCTTGTAATGTTCTCTGTGAGCTCCCATACCTCTCCTGTGCACATTAGTTGTGATCATGTCATCAAGGAAGAGAGGGTGGCCACATTCCTACACACAGTGGGAGCACAGAGATTGAAAGTAGCCACCCTCTAACAGGACATCAGATTACAACAGCAAAAAAGGAATTTGGTGGGGGCTGAGAAGAGACCTTTTGGCTTAAGAATATTTTATTGAATATATATTTTTTTTTAAATAATAAAGAGTTTAGTGTCACTCTAAATATGAATTCCAGGTAAGGCAATTTTTTGTTACATAGCTACATTGGTTCAGCTTGTAACAGTGTAAGTATGCATGCGCCTTACCTGTGGGATCTCCATGAAAGCTAGAAATCAATGTAGTAGACACTGCTACTACAGTAATCCCTGCTGGCTGTTGGGTCCTGTGCTAAATAAGGTTGCTCGCTTGGTATGGGCACCATTCAGGGAAAACTTTGCATTTTCTTAGTGAGTGCAAAGCATTAATTGACTGCACAGGTGGATAGGGGGGCTGTGACATCACAATCTCCACCCCTTCCAATCCGAGAACACTTTTACATTCACTAAGAAAATTCAAGGTGTTCCCTGAATAGTGCGGGTGACCTCCGGTGTTCAATAAGGAGCAGGGCAGTCACTCAGCATAGGACCCAGAAGCTAGCGGCAATCGCTGTAGTAGTGGTGCCTACTACAGTGATTTCCAACTTCCATGGGGAACCCCCAGGTATAGAACGTACATACTTACATTGGTCCAAGCTGAGGCAATGTGCCTATATAAAAATCACCATAACTTAACTTGAGCTTAAAGAGCATAAGGTAGGGCTTGGGTGTCCAGAGTTGGGAAGGATATACCACCTTTAATATGGGTTACTTTATTAAAACTTCAGCTCTGTTATCTATTGTGCACACATATGTCCGCTAGTGAGTCTGATTTGCATGGATTCTGTCACAAATTTGTTCATATGCTTGCTTGTTTAATTACCTGGATATAAAAATTATTTACAGATTGTGTCCATTTATCATGTTCGCCATAAACCACAACATACTGGTAAAATGCTATAGTATGCCGGTAATCATATTTTTTATGCACTTTAGAACATTCCAATACCAACACTGAAAGAATTTGCAAAAGCTTTGGAGTCGAATACCCATGTGAAGTCTTTCAGCCTTGCAGCAACAAGAAGTAATGATCCAGTATCTATAGTAAGTCATTACACACATTACAGAATTATTTAATTAAAGTGTATCTAAACCCAAGAACAAAAATGCAATATATTGCAGCTTAACAGTCCTTCCATGTGGTGGCTGCATTAGTTGTTTTTTTTTTCAGTTTTTTTTTCCTTACTTTGATATCTACCTGGTGATCCTGCCAGTAACATGCTGCCTGTCGTGGCGTGATAACTCTCACTCATCACATTGTGGGCCAGATACACTAGGACTGGCTGTTGAAGAATGCAAATTGTTGCACGTGACATTCTGGCACATCGCATGTCAAATAAATAAATAAATATGTTGCAGCATGTATAGTGTATTTGGTGTTATCATTTTCTTAGTGTACTACTGCACACCCCTTTTTGCATTAACATTTGTGGGACTTTTTGTGCGAAAAGTTGCATTTGGGATTTTTTAAACTGAACTACTTGGTGCAGCCAAACAAAAAAAAAAAAAAAAACACCTTGCACCCAATATTTTTGGCATACCAACAATAGTTTATCTTGTCCTGTATCTATGAAGGAGCAGTATGTTACCCAAGAACAGGACTACAGAACACTCCCTTCTCCTTTTTTCCAACAGCAGGAAGGTGTTTTGTAACCCACAGAGGGTACTGGGGACAAGCTGAGAGCACAGGAAATTACAAGCTCACAAGATTTGTATTTAAATTTATTTTACTGGAAGTCTTTCATCTGTAGCAATCCTTACCTATACATACAGATAAGAGTGCAGCGCTTTATAAAAACAAATGAAACATTTAAAATCTATGACACAAAATTATATATCAAAGTGCAAGGGTGTATAACTGCAAAACGCAGGCAAGATATAGTTCTTATGCTGTCCCTTATAGGGTGACTTGATATGGTATAAGTGCTCAGTTCACAATCTCCCAGTAGGTGGGGTGAGGTGGGGGATCAAATGGATCCCTGTTGACACACACGGTGATAACCAAGAAAAACGATATGTGGTGATATCCAAAATTGGTATAAGATTGTGCACTCACCAGATACACAATCAATATGCGCATGTAAGAGAACCCCTCTTAAGGTATGACTCCAGGACTCATCTGAAGCAAGGTCTGGTCTATTTCCGCGTTGTGGACCCTCAGCTGTCATGCATGGCTCTGTTCCCCTATTGCTCTTGGCTCTGTAGGTGGTTGGAAGCTCACCAAAGAGCCCCAGAGAGAAAAGGAGGCCAGAATAGCGTGATACTGCTTGAACATGCGTGTGTTTATTCCATCCAGCATAAAAGGGTATAATAACACAATACTGACCAGACAAGAAAGTAAGTTGGCCGCCGGGACCCCAGTGGTGCTGGTGGCAATAGTACGTCACTGTGCCGCAGTTCCTGCTGACGCGTTTCGTGCAACCGCACTTACACATAGGAGGTATGCTATGCTATGAGAGCATATTGATTGTGCATCTGGTGAGTGCACAATCTTATACCAATTTTGGATATCGCCACATATCGTTTTTCTTGGTTATCACCGTGTGTCAACAGGGATCCATTTGATCCCCCACCTCACCCCACCTACTGGGAGACTGTGAACTGAGCACTTATACCATATCAAGTCACCCTATAAGGGACAGCATAGGAACTATATCTTGCCTGCATTTTGCAGTTATACACCCTTGCACTTTGATATATAATTTTGTGTGTCATAGATTTTAAATGTTTCATTTGTTTTTATAAGCGCTGCACTCTTATCTGTATGTGAATTTTGGAGGTTGTTTTTGGTACCTTTTGTGTCCAGCAGCTTTTTTACCTTTAGCGCTCACTTATACCTATTTCACAGAATCCTTACCTATAATCAGTGTTACCTACCTTGTAGATTAATGCTTTGTATCAAACATTGTTAGTACTGTATATGAGACAGTCCAGGCAGTAATTGTTGGGTAACAGTTCCTATTGACTTTAGTGGTGGTAATAGCATTGGGGTTATGATAGGTAGCCTAAAGAAGCTTTGAGTATGTCATGGTTATGTGACTTCCCTGGGAGAAGTGTAGGTACACATTTTACAAAAACATTCCCTCATGTATCCTGCTGAGCCATAGATTTAGCACATTAGAGATCCGTGCCTCTATATTAATAACCATATCACAAACACAATCAGGTTGAACTGCATGGATCAATGTCCTCTCCTCACCCTTAAACATATATATCACATTCTGTAGCTACAATGTGTGCAGTATGAACCCTGATTGTCTATCTTGGCTCAGCTAGAGTGGGAGGCTGCAGTAGCTTCATAGTACCAAGGTACACAATGCTGCCAATGGAGAAAGTACAGAGAATCCTTTCCTACATGGATGAACTGCCATCCTATACATCATTCCTTAACAGCCTTGTATAGAGTATTGAGTAAAACAGCACAGAATAGTATAGAAAATTCTCTGATAGTTTAGGAATGATGCTGTATATTTAACTGTTTGTATGGGGTTCAGTGCTATATTGACCATCCAATGAATCTGCTGGGAGCCTGCCTTTTCTTGAAAGCTTAAAGAATTTGTTGTCCTTTTTATTTGCTTTAAATCAAAATGATGTGGCTCTGGCATTGAGGGTCTGTAAAGCTGAACCTCAGGTTTACTATCTTCATTTGAGCCAAGCTGGCCACAAATATTTCCTACACTAATAAATACACCCGCTGGGAGCCCTGTATAAATTGTACGTGGCATCGTCTGCATACAGTATACAACACAGTGTTTTGGCAGTTGCGTAGAAAGGGCCGGGCTCTGCGCTGCTCAGCTATTCACACAAAGTCTTGTATTTTATGAATGAATACAAGGCTTTCTCTGATTGGCTGATGTGTAGAGGCAGGTTGACGATGCCACAATCTCCACCTCATCCAATCAGTAGAAGCCTTGTATCCATTTCTAAAAAATACAATGGGGGTTATTTACTAAAACTGCATGGTGCAGAATCTGGTGCAGCTCTGCATAGAAATTAATCAGATTCCAGGTTTTATTGCCAAAGCTTAATTGAACAAGCTGAAGTTAGAAGCTGATTGGCTACCATGCACAGCTCCACCAGATTCTAATTGCTCCAGTTTTAGTAAATCTCCCCCTATACTTCCTATGAAAGGTTGTGCATCTCTTAGCTTGACTCGATTTTGTTCCAGGAATTGGTTGGAAATCCCCATCCCGCTGCCGGAACACTGAGCTGTATACTGTGTATAGCTGATGCTACACTTCGTTTATACAGCTCTCCGAGCAGGCACATTTCTTAGTCAAGAAAATAGTTTGTTTGAGCTAGCTTGACCCAAACAAACTATTTAAAGTCATATACTTGGAGTTTGGCTTTAGGCTGACCACCTCTAAAGAAAGCAAAATAAATACATTCTTTCTGAAACCACCATTAAAGGTTTTCAAAAAGAAAGTCTCAGCTTTGCCTTTAGAATCAGATGTCATCTCTTAAAGCGGTGGCAAACTCTATTTTTTAAAGGATATCTTCACCTGTTGCCCAAAAATAATTAATGCGCATTTATTATTTTTGGCTGCAGGTTCCTGTAAAGCATTGCACCAGCGATCAGCAGATTGCTGGTGCCGTGTAGGTCTCCTGCAGACCTGTCAGAATATCTGCTTGCCCGTACAGGATGCAAGTAGATTTACTGACAGGAAGAATCAATGAACTACCATGGCGCTCCACAGTGCCATGGTAGTTCATTAAGGACTACAAGCCAACAGCCACTAAGTAGTTATTTCATTCACAGAATACTGTGAATGAATGACCTGGCCATGTGGGCAGAGTCCCACATGGCCAAGCTGTTTATATCAACCATTTAGTAGGGGGAACTTTTCCTCGTACTTCTGCCACGGAGGGGGGGGTTGGGGGGGTGGGTCAGTGGGCCACGGCTGCAGCATTGGGAACATGTTACATGTTCCACCTTAAAAACATGTAGCATGTTCCAACGGTGAACTTATCTTTTAGGTTGTACCTACAGGTAAGCTTACAGTCAGGCTTACCTGTAGCTACAATTAATACCTACTAAATGTGTACTGTTTAGGAGATAATCTCATCAGCAAAAACCAATAGAGTCACCCACGCATGTGCATTGATGCTCTGCATTCAGGGCATACATTATGCAGTAGAATGCAGAGCGCCGTGCCTTGGCTGGGGCTCTCGCACGCATGTGCTGAAGAAATGTCATTGCATCCCCGACCATTCAAATAGCCGGAGCCCATGAACCTGGAAGGAAGACCGGGTGAAGGTGGGGGGGCGTCGGAGAGCATTGACAGTGCTGCGCTAGAGGGCTCCGTATGCAGGTAAGTCTGCCATAATGTGCTAGTGTGCGTTGCATATTAGTACATTATGACTTAAAGTGGTCCTAAAGCCTTAGGGTTTTTCACCTTAATATATTCTATGCATTAAGGTGAAAACCCTTCTGTGCTCAAGCTCTCCCTTTTTATTATCTGAGCCTGATCCGATCCAGTAATGTGCACAAGAGCAGCGGCTCTAGCCTCTGTCTTTCTCCTCCTTGGGCAGATTGATAGCAACGGGAGCTATTGGCTCCTGCTGTTGTCAATCAAATTCTGCGATACAGGAGCGATGTGCGGGGCTGAGCTGCCCGCTCTGTGTCAGTGGACATAGACAGGGTGGTTCAGGAGCGAGCCCGCACGGGTCCCCCCATGGGAATCTACTTTCCATGGGGGCAGCCACCAAAGAAGAGGGAAAAGGGAACCCCAGAAGAGGAGGATCAGGGCTGCTCTGTGAAAAAGCATTACACAGAGCAGGTAAGTATATGAGTATGTTTATTATTTTAATTTAAAAAACCCAAAGGTTTAATGTCACTTTCAACCTGAAGGGGAGCCCAATTTTTTTTTTATATTCTTGTGGCAGTTTACTGATTTAAGTCGGCTAAGGTAATGAGCACCCAATCTTATCAATTGTGATAGTTACTGTTTTTTACTTTTACCCTCTTTTTAAAAATCATACTTGTGGTAGCTGCAGTTTTGGTGCATTTTGTGAACATGGCTGGAATTTAGTATAATGAAGAGTATAAGTATTTCTGGACTTAACAGCTCTGTCATTATACAGGCTTTTGCAGATATGCTGAAAGTGAATAAAACATTGAGAAGTCTAAACGTGGAAACAAACTTTATCACGGGAAGTGGAATCCTGGCTCTTGTGGAAGTCCTGAAAGAGAATAAGACCTTAACTGAGATCAAAATTGCCAATCAGGTAAATGTGTAATCATTTATTTAGCATGGCAGTATGGGAGCGGACTCCGCCATGGCTCACATCCATTTCCCTGTGTGCAGAGACAGCAGCTGGGGACTGCCGTGGAGATGGAAATTGCTCAAATGCTTGAAGAGAACTCAGCAATTCTGAAATTTGGATATCAATTTACACAGCAAGGTCCAAGGACTAGAGCGGCAGCAGCCATTACAAAGAATAATGACTTAGGTGAGTCTTGAATGTGATATAATTACCTCTACAGACCACTGAACAGTATAGCTGTGCATTACACCAGATATCGATTTCTGTTCTGCCAAGATCAACAGAAGTCAGGCATCAGGACTAGGGAATTCTAATCTTGCTGCAGACATATGCTCATGTCTTCCATATTGCACAGTTTAACAAATACAGTATATATGTATGTATTGACTTACCATATCATGCTTGAATTTCAGAGACTTTTTCACAACAAGAACTTTGACTCATTTATCTATTTAAATGTACATTATGTAGTTGATTTACTGAAGGCAAATAGGCTGTTCACTTTGCAAGGGGAGTTGCACAGTACATGGGAATTGTCCCAAGAGCTTAGTGAATGTGCAGAATTTTTACTTTGCAAAGAATACTCAATCACGTGCCAAGAAAATAAAAAAAAAACAGCATTCTTGTCCTTGACTGGGTGATGAAAGACAGCAGAGCTTCACCACATTCACTAAGCTCCAGGAGAAATTCCCTAGCAAAGTGCAGGTTCCCTTGCCAAGTGAACTGTGTATTTGCCTTTAGTAAATCAGCCCCAATGCCTTTATAGATATATAAAAAGAGTCAGCTTAACTCCTTCCTGCTAGCAGCCATTTAAATGGGTGTTAATGCCGAGAGGCAGAGGTTGTGTCACAATCACATAAACACTGTGATTGGCTCTCAAAGATTAGGAGCTCATCCCATTGGCTGCTGAACACAAACGGCATCTGAGGGCAGCTGCAAGTGACAGCTCAGTCAGTGTAAGTGCAGCAGCTGGGTCTACAAGTCCCCCTGTTCTGCCACCAGGGGGTTACAGCAGCGGAAAGATGTAATTCATCTTAACAGTTTTAACTAACCAGTCCACCCAAAATTGATATTTCAGTTTTTGGTATCTGAAGAATTAAACTACTTTGCTTATCTCTCTTGAGATATTTGCATTTAGGTACCTTGATGTGCACACCCACTGTGACTATTGTGAGGGGGTTCTACTCTCCATGTTGGAATTTCTTTTTTATTTTATATTAAAAAGAATAAAACAGAGGGTGCTGTTGTACACATAAATCAGCAGGGGCAACCAATTTATTTATTTCATTTCATGTACTTATATATTGAACATTCACATCAGTCCCTAACCCTCAAGGGGTGTACAATCTAAGGTCCCTAACTCGCATTCATACATACACATATTAGGGCCAATTTAGACAGGATCCAATTAACCTACCAGCATGTCTTTGGAGTGTGGGAGGAAACCAGAGCACCTGGAGAAAACCCACACAAGCACAGGGAGAACATGCAAACTCCATGCAGGAGGCACCATAGTCGGGAATCGAACCCATGACCCATTTATTGCAAGGCAGACGTGCAAACCACTAAGCCACTGTGCCACCCATTCCCAGGTAAACTGGAAGAGAGTCAGGAATTAAAGAAAAACTTTACCCATAACAACTGGAGGAAAAATAATGGTCTTTAGCATGGAACATACATTGTACATTAATAATTCTGCTACTGAAATTAGTGTGTGCTGTAAATTGCCTCTGGCATTGTTCCTGTTTTTTCTTGCTGAAGCCCAAAGCCCCTGAGCAGCAGTAAATCTTTAGGCTGTCAGCAGATTGGCATCTACATTTTCAGCACACTGCCGAAAACTAGAGAGCAACTGAGCATATACAGAGCAGGGTGGGACAGTGTATTACTGGATTTTAAACAGTATAGGCACTTATTTTTAATGTTTTACATAGTTATACCTGCAAAATGAGCCAGCCTGAAGTAATCTAGAAGGACTTAATTTTCTAAAGTTCCATGTTTTTTTATGGCAGTCAAATCACCTTGTTAGAGCATCCAAGATGTTATAAAACCGTACCGACTCTGCCCACGAGGCTCCATGCCAGTTTTGGGTGGGGATGACCTTTTAGAAACCCATTCATTTATTCTGTTGCTGTATATGGGAATGCAGTAAATCAGTAATTCATTTTGGACATCCTACTCTTCAGCAGTAAGGCAGGACTTGGACACATTTTAAAAGGATCAGCAGGCTGTATAAAGAAAGGGATTGAGATTTACCGTCGGATGTGTGGGGGCATCTTCAAGATGTTGGCATAAAAATACTAATGGCAAATACTGTGATAGCTTGCCGCATCTTTGTACTCTTCTATTCCAAGCCAAGTGTTCTGTCCAGCTTTCTGAGTCATCCACAATTTATTTCTAGGTTATGTCAAAGGGAAAGAGGAACATTCCCTCACAAGGAGTTTCCAGATCTAATTTTAGTGAAGTAACAGATCCATTATTATTTTCCTTCTATGTCTTTTTGTATAAAATAGAGCTGTCACTTCCATAGTCCTACTAGCTGGGGAAATCATTTGAACTATGATCTTAGTGATGGACTGCCATCCTATACATCAAACCTTAGCAGCTTTGTATGGAATGAAGCAGCACAGAATAATATATCACACTCTGATAGCTTATCGTGGCCTATAAATTAGGATGGCACACAATTTAGAAGAAAATGAAGGCAAATTGTAGCAGATTTGAATTGTGCTTTCAACGATGGACTGGCATCCTATACATTATTCCTTAACAGCCCTATACAGAGTATTGAATAAAGCAGCACAGGACAGTTCACACTGGAAGCTTGGGATGGATGCTGAATTAGTTCGGTACTTTATTTAGTGAAAGTAAGGGGCGGATATTCGTAACTGTTCCTGTGTAGACCAGATAGGGCTGTTAATTAGCATTTACCAATGAGTGAATGTGCAAAAAAAAACTTCACATAGCTGTTTGTTCATTGAACTGTATGTAAATTCATTCTGTGCAAATAGGGTAAAACCGAGTTTTCTCAGCAGAGATGGTTCTTTAATTAGGCGGCTGCCTATGGTTTGCACTCACAGGGGCCTCATGGCTGCCTAATTTGCCTAACGCCAGGGCTTTTTTTCTGGGCTGGCCTGGAGATTGGCCACAAAGTGAGCTGGTGGCCGCTGCACTGCCAGATAAGCCGACAATCGTCGATAGGGCTGAATAGTTCTGGCTGCACTACAGCCTTAGAGAGAGGAAGGGAAGGCGGAGTGATATCAACCGCACTCTGCCTCTCCCTGCAGACCGGATGCTCCTTGGCGGCAGTCGCACTGGGATCTGTGTAGAAGAACAGCAACGCCACATGTAGCCTGACTGCTCCTCAGTGATCACTGTGCTGCACTGCTGTGGAAACAGACAATTGAGAGAAGTTGTACAGCTGCCGTTGTAAAGATAAATTATTGATTAGCAATGTTGCAATACAAAGGGCTTTGCTGCTTGGATGTGGGTCTCTGTCACTGTCTCTTAGCTGGTTTGGGCTGTCTCTTAGCTGGATTAGGCTGTCTCCTAGCTGGATTGGGCTGTCTCTTAGCTAGGTTGGGCTATCTCTTAGCTGGATTAGGCTGTCTCCTAGCTGGATTGGGCTGTCTCTTAGCTAGTTTGGATTGTCTCCTAGCTGGATTGGGCTATCTCCTAGCTGGATTGGACTGTCTCTTAGCTGGGACTGCCTCTTAGCTGGATTTGACTGTGAATTGAACTGTTTCTTAGCTGGATTGGGCTGTCTTTTAGCTGGATTGGGCTGTTAGCTGGATATATGGGAATGTCTCTTTGCTGGATATATGGGGGATGTCTCTTTGCTAAATATATGGGGCATGTCTCTTTGCTGAATATATGCAGGATGTCTCTTTGCTGGATATATAGGGGATTTCTTTTTGCTGGATATATGGGGGATGTCTCTTTGCTAAATATAATGGGCATGTCTCTTTGCTGGATTTGTGGGGCACATCTCTTTGCTGGATATATGGGGCAATTTATACAGCTAATTTTTAATTTATACACCTATTTTTTAATTATTTTTCCCATTATGGATGAGGGCATGAGTGGGGACTCGTGTCAATGTTTTGCCTAAGGCAGGGGTAGGCAACCTGCGGCTCTCTAGCTGTTGTGGAACTACATTTCCCATGAGGCACTGCAACATTACAAAACTGACAGTTACAGCTATGACTTGCAGAGGCATGATGGAACTTGTAGTCCTGCAACAGCTGGAGAGTCGCAGGTTGCCTACCCCTGGCCTAAGGCCTCACTAAGCCTTGAGCCGCCTCTGGCTATATTCTCTGCAGGTAGAATGTTATTTATTGAGCAAAGCAGTGAGAATGGAGAAAATACCCTATTATGGCCACTAGATGGTGATGAGTATCATAGGAGAGAAGTATGCCCCTTAGCTCCATCCAGTGACCATAATGTGGTGTTCCCCTTTTCAGTTTTCTTAATTAAAAATCAAAGAATAAAATTTGATTTAAAGAACATTTGCTTCTTCCCTATTTACATGCAGTTTTGATGGATGAACAGCTATGCGATTTGTTTTATAAATACATTCCCAAAGGTTGGTAACCTGCTCTAAATGTATGGAAGTAAGAAAAAGGTATGTTGGTACAGAAAGAGCAAGGGAACATGATGCTTTTTGAATAGCAATTGCAGTTAAATGCTAAGGTAGCAGTCTTGCCAGCCATGGCTATATGGAAGCTGCCCTTGTTGACCCTTTCCTGAAAAACCTAATTAGCCCATGACCATGTTTGCTTTCTGACTTTATTACATTCTGTATCACAAACCCAAGATAAGTACCCAAGATCTTAATACTTGTTCTTGGCCAGTGACCCAGGAACTAGTAAATCTAGAGTTGCACCATGGCAGGAATTTTCATCAGGAGACCACTGGCAGCCTTTATTTTTCAGGGAAACTTTAAAGTTTTTTTACACACATAATAAAATCTGCATTTTTTTGCTAGAAAGTACTTTAGACTTCTAAACTATTTTATGTTTTCTGAAAGCAGAGACCATAGAGAATAAAATAGTGCCTGTTGTAATTTTTTATGTTGCGTGACATTTGCGCGGCTGTTTATCTTACACATATTTTCAGGACAAAGCACATTAAAATTAATTTTTGTGCAAATACAAAATTATACCTATTTTTTTTCTAAAACGTAAAAGATGGGTTGTGTTGAGTAAATAGATACCAAACATGTCAAGCCTTAAAATTGTGTGCACAGACAAAATCTCAAAAAATCAAATCTAATCAAAATTGTCCATAGGTAACATTTTTAAAGTCTTTACAGGTTATGAGTTTATAATTAACAATTAATTACGGCCCTAGAATTGTTGCTCTCACTCTGACATTCACGGTAATACCCAACATGTGTGGCACAATTTATATTTACTTGCCTGTGCACACCCTATGCTGTGTGTTTGCAATGAGGTGTGTCTAGGAGTGACAGGGGTGCTCCTAAATTTCATTTTACATCATTTTTATTTATTTTTTTATCAAAATTAATTTTTGTAACCCTTTTTTATTTTTCTCAATTCACTTCATTACTATAACAAAGGGCCGAAGAAGCCCCCTAAGTCAGGGGTGGGCAACCGTGGCCCTCCAGCTGTTGTAGAACTACAAGTCCCATGAGGCATTGCAAAACTGACAGTTATAAGCATGACTCCCAAAGGCAGAGGCATGATGGGACTTGTAGGTCACCAACAGCTGGAGGGCCACAGTTGCCCACCCCTGCCCTAAGTGATAGCATGGGCAGGTGACAGGACCTCTTTATGGAGACATCAGAGGTCTATTGGGCCAGTAGCAGCAGCTGGGACATTGCTTTAACCCATTGGATACCAGGATGCTTATATAAGAAGGCAAGGCATTCATGACAGGTTTCCTTCAACTGATTTTAGCTCTGTCACAGAGGAAACCTAAATGAGTCCATAGGTGCACTGTGTTACGCTCTGCACCCCAACCATATTTTTTGTTTATTATCCATTCAGTATCTGCATCTGCCTTTCAGCTGGATTGGATTTTCCTGGCCAACAGATGTTGTTTCCCTCAGTAGGGGGGTCTGGATAAGGCACATACTTGTACATTCAAGATCAACCACATATGTTTGATTACAGTACATTGTCAATGATATATATGCTGTATATTACTCTGTATGTGTTTTATATTACCCTGTATGTGTTTTATGTACCGCCATATACGTTTACTGTTGTTTCAGACCTTGAGCTCCCTCTTGTGGAATCTATTAGAATTTTGCACTAATAAAATACTATGAAACCTGCAAATCTTACAGTCTAAGTTTGCTTTTTAAAGTAATAAATGTGCATTTTTTGGTGGTAAAAAAAGCGTGAACCATAACAGGCTCCTGCAGACACTCACTACAGCTATCTTGCCTGTACTGCCCACACGGGCAGACAGTTACTGAATTGCAGGAAGTCTAATGAACTATGAGGGTGCTCATCATCAGGATCCCCGGCCCGAGAATTCCGCACCGCATCAGAATCGCACCCCATTCGTGTGAACCGCTGCGGGTGTGTATGTTAACAACACCCCGAAAGCGGTCTGCAAAACGCAGTGCGATGTGCAGAATCGGATTGCGTGGGTGTGAATACCCATGTGATCCAATTCTAGTGCGGACCAAAAAAAGGGTCCTTCACCTTTTTGGTGCGGCTGCAGTGAGATTAGAGCCATACAAAATGTATGGCTACCGATTGCACCGCACACAAATCGCATGTGATTTGCAAAGGAATGTGGTGCGGTTCCTGTGCGAATCACATGTAATGTAGCGCACCACATATATGTGAGCCCAGGCTTAAAGATATAAAAACCGGAGAGTGCAAAATCTGGTGCAGCTCTGCTTAGAAACCAATCAGATTCCAGATTTTGACAAAGCTTAACTGAACAAGCTGAATTTAGAAGTTGATTGGCTACCATGCACAACTGCACCAGATTTTTGCACTCTCCAGTTTTAGTAAATCTCCCCCATAGTGTTTATGTAAAGTAATCATGTTATGTTTATGTATAGTAAAATTACCATTTGATGTATTATGTTTATTTTTTCATTATTAATGATATATAACAGGGCTGTCAAACTGGCGGCTCTCCAGCTGTTGCCAAACTAAGAGTCCCATACTGCCTATGCCTTTGGGAGTCATGCTTGTAACCGTCATTCTTGCAATGCCTCATGGGACTTGTAGTTTGGCAACAGCTGGTGGGCCGCCAGTTTGACACCCTTGATATACAGCATAGCTACCTGTGAAGTGCTAGTAGGCAGATCATGAACATTTCTAATGACCCAGGGTCTTTTTATCTCTGCAGTTCGTCAGAAACGAGTTGAAAGGGAGCATCAATAAGTTAAGAGAAGATAAAGATACAGAAGACATCTCTATTGGGAAGAAAGGAAAACACGGTTGTAAGACTGTGAGAGCTGCACTATAAAGGCAGTCTTATTGGACTACTACTTTGCATTGCTGATTTTACAAGATTCCATGTTAGGCTCGGCACTATTAAGGGAGAAATTAAGGAAAATATTATCCAAATACCTGCACTTTTCACCAATGCTGACCCAGTGTAGATTGTAAAGACACCCTTTGGCGTAAAATGCATGGTAGTTCGATGTTTGGGTCACTTACTTGATATTAATGTTGCCAATCTTAAGGTGCTGTCATGTGACCATGTTTGTTATGTACATAAAATCACTCTCATGCATTTTCATATATCACCTATATCAACTATAAGCTATTGCATTTTTTAAATATATTTTTACATTTGTTCATATTTTAGGAGAGCAGAAATATAATACACATTTAGAAATGCAGCTTTTCTTGTTCCTCCAGTAGGTAAATTGACAGAAGCAGTCAAGTAAGAATTACTGCTTGAATTGGTAGATAATGGGATCATTGCTGACAGCAGTAGAATTACTTCAGTGACAGCCCTCATGGCTCGGGTTTTCAGCTTTCCTTATGCTGAAAGCTCTCTTTCCTGTTGCCTCCCCATGTCAGCAGTGATAGGTATGGCTTTGCCCCCCTTAAACCTTGGATAGCCCTCCAGCGTAGCAATAAAGAGATTACTCGCCCTCACACGAGCTTTCCTTTTTTTATGTCCTCTTAGTAGATCCAGGACCCTCCAGCTTTTCCAGTAAGAACTCCATCTGTCCATCCAGGTTCGGCCTTGATATGGTGAAAGGGCAGGTGTCACTCCCAACTAGAATGTTATCCTGAGTACCCTTGTGGCAAGGTACTGTACAGTTGTGACCAAAATATTCAACCCCCAATGCTGTAAAGGGGTTTAGGGACTATAGTGTACATTTGGAATTGTATTCAGAATCAAATCCTACAAGGACGTTGTAACTACCCAAATGCAACTAAAATTAACATCAATTGTTTATGTAATACAGTAGTAAATGGTTCTTATGTGGTTTCTTCTTCATTGCCACAATTATTCAACCCCTTAAAGACTACCACTCTGAAGAAACAGAGGTTCATACAGGTGCTTTCCATCAGGTATTGAAAACACCTGTGGATGTCACCGAGCAGCAATCAAGCATAATAAGCACCAATTAGGCAGCTTTAAAATGACTGTGATACTCAGCTCCTTCTAGACATTTACTGGTGTGGTTACAAACATGGTGAAGGCAAGAGAATGGTCCAGGAAGACAAGAGAAGAGGTGATTTCTCTTCACAGGAAGGGCAATGGCTATAAGAAGATTGCAAAGATGTTAAACATACCAAGAGACACCTTAGGAAGCATCATTCGCAAATTCAAGGCAAAGGGCACTGTTGAAACGCTACCTGGTCGTGGCAGAAAGAAGATGCTGACTTCGACTGCTGTGCGCTACCTGAAGCGTAGAGTGGAGAGAAGTCCCCGTGTGACTGCTGAGGAACTGAGAAAAGATTTGTCAGATGTGGGTACAGAAGTTTCAGCCCAGACAATAAGACGCACACTGCGTAATGAAGGCCTCCGTGCCAGAACTCCCAGGCGTACCCCCTTGCTGTCTCCAAAGAATAAGAAGAAGTCGACTGCAGTATGCCAAAAGCCATGTGGACAAACCACAAAAGTTGTGGGGATGGGATAGTGTTCTGTGGACTGATGAAAAAAAAATTAGAACTGTTTGGGGCCCATGGATCAACGCTATGTTTGGAGGAGGAAGAACAAGGCCTATGATGAAAAGAACACCTTGCCTACTGTGAAGCATGGTGGAGGGTCAATCATGCTTTGGGGCTGTTTTGCTTCTGCAGGTACAGGGAAGCTTCAGTGTGTGCAAGGTACCATGAATTCTCTTCAGTACCAGGAGATATTGGATGGAAACGTGATGCAGTCAGTCACCACACCTGAGGCTTGGGAGACGTTGGACCTTTCAACAGGACAATGATCCCAAGCATACCTCCAAGTCCACTAGAGCATGGTTGCAGAGGAAAGGCTGGAACATTTTGGAGTGGCCATCGCAGTCACCAGACTTAAATCCGATTGAGAACCTCTGGTGGGACTTAAAGAAAGCAGTTGCAGTGCGCAAGCCTAAGAATGTGACTGAACTGGAGGCCTTTGCCCATGAAGAATGGGCGAAGATACCCGTAGATCGCTGCAAGACACTTGTGTCAAGCTATGCTTCACGTTTAAAAGCTTTTATAACTGTAAAAGGATGCTGTACTAAGTACTAAGATTGAATGTCACTTGGGGGTTGAATAAAACTGATAATGCTGTGAGCACAGAAAAGACATTTGTGGTTATTTCATTATAACTGTTATGTTATATTTGTCTGACCTACAAGTGCCTCTTTAATGTAAATGTAAGCAAGATGACTGAATGATCAAAAGCAATGTCAAACTGGCCAAAAACTCAATTTCAGTGGGGGTTGAATAATTTTGGTCACAACTGTATATGTCTGGTATAACATGCTGCCTTATATTAAAGGATGGGCAATATGGATTTACTGTTTCTTCATTTTTCCCTCTATACCTAACACACCTTCCTCCCTCCATCACCTGGACTGCAGCTGATGCCATTTGCTTAGGACCCTTTGGAATAATGTCACTATGAGAATATGGCAGATACCAACAAAGACCAATGGGTAGTTTGGGTAATTTCAATGAGCTATATCCTAAAATTCCAATCTCTAAAATGTCAATTTCTGTTGCTCCAGTTCCTTTCACAGAAAAAAGGTTTAGTTATATTGGACTCCTCTTAGTTTAGATCAATATTAGACTTACAGAGAATAAACTTTGTTTTATGAAGGTCAGAAACTTGAAATGGAATCAATGGAGACTATAATCAGAGTTTTTCATCCAGGTGACTAGCTCCTGTCAATAGATTTTCATGCCTCCACATCTTGATATTTAAGACCCCATCGAAGGTTTCTGAGATTCTCAGTTATGGTTTAACATCTACAACACTCTCAGCACTTTCATTTGGATTGACAACAGCTCCGTTTACCTTTTGAAAGTCCTGTTGGCTCTGAAAGCTTTTGCAGGATTTTGGTTGGGTGAAAGACAGAGAAGCCAGTGAATTCCCTCCCAGTCTCTTCAATACCTGAGAAGGCAAAATTACCTCCTTTCAAAAGATGCTCAATTCAGAGCAAGATCAGTCAGCTCTCTTACCTCTCAGCCCACCAATGCCTCCGCCTTCCACCTTCAGAAAGCCCTCTTTAGCCGCACCAAAGTGCCGCCTTCCACCTTCAAAATTCTTTCTGCTTCTTTTTATGGCAGCACCTTGTGTGAAATGCAACAGAAACATGTTCCAGATTTTATTCCTTCACCAGTGGTACCAAAAAAACTTTAATCCAACCTAGCAACCTTTGTGAAATGCAACAGAAACATGGTCCAGATTTTATTCCTTCACCAGTGGTACCAAAAAAACTTTAATCCAACCTATTTTGATATTACCCATTGTAAACAACAGCTTTACCTGGTGGCTGGACAAGTTCAATCTGTCGGAGAGCTGGCCCCTCAGTCTTGGAGACTGGATTGTTTTGTCTTCCGGTACCAATCTTCATGGTTTGGGGACATACAGTACTCTCTGAGCAGGGCAGCACAATGTATGTGGAGTTATTCAGATTGAAAATCTTGAAATCTTTTGAGCCTCCCAAGAAGAGTTGCAAGGTCAAATTGTATATGAACAATTCTACTACAGTTTCATATGTGCCCAGGCAAATGGACATGCACAGTGTGGCACCTATTGGAAGCAAAACAGATTAAATCCTGGGTAGGACCTTGCCTCATGGAACTTTCATCTTGCTTCATCCCAGGTGCATAATATGCGTTAAAAGACTACTCGAGTTGAGATTTTGAAGATTCAAAGGAATGTTCCAGCAACATGAAATACTTAATTCAGATATACAGATGTTGGGGCTTCCCAGCCATGGATTCAATGCCTCTCTAGGACCTCCCTTGGGCTTGTCAAAAGATGCCTTTTTGGCTGCATTCTGGTCTTGTCATTCTTTGTTTCAGTTACTATGGTATCTGAAGACAGCTGGTCCCTGGTTTCTTCCAGTGAAAGAAGATCTTTTCTTCCAGGATCATCTAAACCATCTAGCAACCTGGATATTTAGAGGAGGTATTTGAAGGGTATTTCACAGTCTGTCATTGCCATGTTCATTCAGGCCAGGAAAGAGTCCACAAATTTCATTTGATCCCATGTGTCTATCAGTCAGTCAGAACTAAAACATCTTTCAGAGGTGTGAGGATAGACGTTTGGCATATAATACTGTAAAGATATAGATTTCAACCTTTTCAACCATTACTATCACCAGGTGGGCCTTGTTCCTTAGTTGGCTCAATTCTTAGAGAGACTCTCAAAATTGAAATCTCCAGAGAGGCTAGTTTTTTTCCCCATTGGGACCTGCCTTTCATTCTTTAAGCATTAATCCTTTACCTTGAAAGCAACCTTCATCATAGCTGTTACCTCAGCTAGAAGGCTTTCAGAGATTCAGACCTTGTTGGCAACAATGCCATTTTTTAGGATTTTTCAAGATAAAGTTATGCTGGGGCTAGCCCTAGAATTCCTGCCTAAAGTTGTCTCTAAATTCCATTCAGACATGGATGAACCTCTGTCTGCTTTCTATCTGAACCCATTCTTGAAACAGGAAGATCTTTCAAACAAACTTGATCTGTCCACCTGGTGTTAAAATATCTCCAAAAGGATGGCGTTGAAAAGGTTCTCAAATGGATTTTGTTCTTCATGCAAGGTCAAGGAAAGGCGAGCTGGCTACCTCTAGAACCATTTGTTTTTTGATCATCTGGACCATCTAAGTCTGCTA